AAAACTTTGTTTTTGTTGTTGGAAATGTTAATGATTTTATATTTCCCTGCGTCCTCTCAGACTGAGCCATTGTCTGTTTCAGAGCTTTCTTTCAAACTTAATTACCTTCTCCCCTTTGTCGTGACTCGGGCAGAAAAGTTTTCAGCATGTCAGGAGAGGTCGTCACACATTCTTTTGCAGTTCTCTTCATTAATCCTCCTTGCAGAAGCATTTTCTCTCGTGCTGGGAAGGTAGAAGGGTGTAATGGAAGAGCCCTGAAACAGCAGCAGGAAGCTTTAAGCTGGTTAATGCAGTATAATTGTCTGGACATAGATGGGCCTTTGTTTGTGCGGTTCACTTCGAATCAGCTGTAATTAACTCCAGAGTGTTTCCAGATTGCCAGCAAAGAAAAATTACAGCTTTTCTGTTTTAAATTGAAAAAGACATTAACTATGTAGATTAGGTTTTTCTTTGATACGAGCCCGTCCTGTTGAAATCTTTCACATGGGCGGCTGCTTTAAAGGCGATAGCTTTGCTGTTATTTATTTCGGGCCACTTTTTTTTCGCGATGGGGAGAGCGCAGGGTCAGCTTTTGGTGCAACGGCTTCTCCTCGGGTTTTAAGACGAGGCAGCCTCTATCACGAGGGCCCAGATTCCCGGCAGAAGTCGAGCGGCTTCCAGGTAAGGGCAACCTGTGAGCCGGCCTGCAGACGTGCAGAGTCGATGCCAGTGCTTACGCCGGCGCTAGGTGGACGCTAGGAAGTTTTTCTCCTCCCATGAAAGCGATCAAAGGCAGAGGTAGCCTCAGACTTTCTTCAAGGAAGCGTTTCTAATGCAAGAGGAAACCAAAAATGTTGTGTTGGAAAGGTCCCGCTCTTGCAGTTTGGTTTCTAACACATTCATCCCTTTCCGGCAGACTCCACTGGACTGGGCTACCACACGCCACATTGTAATGATGCTTCTTCTTGCGAGCAACGGGTTTTAACAGGGTGTGAAATACGTTAACAGTGCTTGGGAGGTCTTCATCCTGTACTTCTCCCATCTAATCTTACACCTCTGGGCACATCATGTCTATAGGCAACTTGTTATAGAAGTCTGGCCAAACCTTTTTTTTCCCTCTCTTCTCCTTCTTTTCTTTGTGGTTTTAACAATAAGGAATTAAACCTCACTGTGGCCTTAGAAGCTGTAGACATTCCTGATGCTGGGATAATACCACTTTGATGGATTTTTCATCAGTCCTTTCTGCGTGGCAACAAATAAACAAGTATAATTACGCCTGTGAAGGTCTCCTCATTGCTTTGTCAGGATTAGAGATATGTGCAGTTTTCACACTGAGCTTCTCTTTTGTCTTTGCCTAACTCACTATGACACATTGATAGAGAATCTGGTGCTGGGGAAAGGCCGCAGCAGAGGCAGTGATGACCTTTGGGGAACTTGATATAATTCAAGGATAGTTTTGTTTATTTTTCTCATCTGACTTTTGCAAGTTGCAAACACGCTTCTGGGCCGAGTGCACCAGTTTTATAACCCATGGTTGGCAAAAAAAAATAAGATTCTTTTTAGTAGACTGGTGTCCTGGTTTTAAGAGACAGTAGAAAAGAGAAACGGCAGGGCTGGAAGCCCTTTTCCTTGCTTTATCAAGAACTTAGTGCCCTGGCAGTCGCCAACCTGGAGTTCTGCTTCCCTCCATTCTCTGCTCTTGATCAGATCACATTCTTTTTAATCACTTCACAGGCAGTGTCTCAGCAGACCATGGAGAGGGCTGGGACGGTCTTAATTAAAAAACAGAGGTAGAAACAGCATTTGCGATTTCTTTGTTCTAATGGGAACATGGGACTGATTCTGTGCGGGGGCTCTCTCCTCATGGTTTAGAATGGGCTCTGTTTTGGGGTCTTTTGTTCCTTTGCAGGGAATCCTTGTGTAGGCAGGCTTGTTGTGTCAGCTGTGTAGATTTAGGTCTGCAGAAATCAGAGTGAGGAAGGAGTTTCACGCTTTTTTCTGCTGCAGGAGCTACTGGGCTTGGCTTTTAGAAAAAGCATGGTTTCAGTTCAAAAGGTGTAAAAACGGAGCCTTTAAAAAGAGCAGGTATGTACATGACTCCACTTTTTTTTTCCTGTGGGACACACAGGCAGTTCTGCTTCAAATCACACTCTTTGGCTTAGTATGATATATATTATCCTGTTTACCTGTTCACAGTTGGTAGCAGGAAATAATCTGCAAGTGAAACAGTGTGCTGGCGTTTTGCAATGCTTTTTTCTGACTGTTAGGATGTGGCCGGGCACATTGTGAACTGAGAATGCTTTGATAATAGTGACAGATTTGCTATTCCATTATGGTTTGTGTTTTTTATATAAAACAGCTCTGCACACTTCAGTTGGTAACTTTTGAGTTGATTGTGAATGATTGTTCTCCAAAGGAGGAATATCAATATGAAGGCTGGATGTGCTTTTACCATGGATGGGTTGCGCGCTTGTATCAAAACAAGTAGAGCTCTCAGCTGGTTAGTGCTTTGTACCGTACTTTATAATTCATCAACATATAATGATTCATATGCGTAGCGAAGAAGAAGAGAGACAGGCACATCCCATGGAGGGATCCAGCACTTCAAGTGTGAAGTTATACATTATTCATCACAACCGTGTGCTTTATGTCTTGCCCAAGCAGTACAAAGGGCTCATATTTGTAAAAATTATAGTCTTCTTCATATGTATATTCAGTGCATTCAAAGATGAGCCATATAGGTATAACAGGTATCTTCCTTTACGAAAGTTGAATTATGTTTGTATGTTTCCAAGCGGTCAAAACGCTTTTTAAAATTAATTATATTGGTTATTTTTAATCAGTGCTATTTTTGTTGGAAACGTGTGAAGGATCTGTTTTCCTTGTGGGATTTGTGTATTAATGGCCCACTGTGTCTGTGCTGTGTGTTTTCCAGCTCCCGGAGTACACAGTGCTCTGGCCCCTGAGGTACTGAAGCTGTGTATATCATGGCTAGTGCTGTTCCACTTAGGATGCCAAAATGATTTAAAAGGGACAGAGTAAGCAGATACTTGAATATTTGGTAGTTAAAATAGACCCCAGGTGTTTTATGTTTTCCAAAGTTTTTTTTCCCTAAATGTTTCTGTTTGTCTTTTTCATCTACTTTTTCAATTTTGTCTTTAGAAATAACATAACAGTCTTCTTGCTAATTGAAAAGAAACATTCATTGCTTTTTTGGTAATTTCAAATGTGTTTTCAAACTGCCAAGAGCAGGATTAACCCCCATCCTGTTGATAATTAAAATTACACATTAAGCTTTATGATTGCCAATTTAGCCATCATATAGAAACATCTTATTCATCTTTCAATCCATTGGGTCTTCTGATGTCTCTTAAACTGATAATTTCCCTCACTGCCTTAGCTGAGGAGATTAGATTTGATTAGAGTGAAAAACATTTTGAAGCAGCTATTCTTCATTCTTAATATCTAAAGGACCTTCCCACAAGCTCTATTTAGCCCAGGGTTGTTTTAAATTAATCCCCCAAATTGCTTTGTACGGCACCAGAGCAGGATCTCCAAAGGGCTGCACACAGTAAGTCTGTAACCAGGGCTGAGGCGTTGGTTGTTTATTAATTGTCTGTTTTATGAGGTCCCATCCTTTGTGACAAGAACGGTGCTTATCTCTTGCATTGTGTAGCCTCGTCCGCCAGTGCATTTGCATTTGATACTTTAGAACCCTTCCAGTAACTGAAGCGGGCACTTGAAGATGACCCGCCTTTTATTAAGTTTAAATTTAAAAAAAAAAAGGCAGTGGGAGCAGGACAGGCACAAGCTCCCCTCCAGAGCAGGTCTCTCAGCTGTTGTGCACACTGCCATCATTCTGCAAACAGGGGGATGTACAAAGGCTCTCGGTCTTCAGGCAGCCCTGCTTCAGCAGTCTGTACAGGCTGTGAGCATGGAGGAAGGCAGGCTTAAGGCTTCTGTGGCCCTGCACTGTGCTCGATGGGGCTGTGCCCTGATTCCCGGTACAGGCATGGCTTTGCGGGGCTACATCTACATCCCCACCAAAGAGAATACATTTTTTAAGCTGCCGGCCTGCAGCAAATGATTGAAGGATTTTCATCAGTGGGGCTTGTGTATGATTTGTTAAAGCTGGGGGAGAAGCTGATTGAGGCGGCAGTTGAGAGATGGGCAGCACACCAGGATTGATAACATCACAATGGTATTTGAAATGGTGTTCATTACGTGCTTTTTTTTTACCCCGTCCAATGGAAAGAATTTAAGTGAGTGCGACTGTCTCCAAGGATGATTGGACTGGATGCGCTAAATATTAATTTTTGTTTCGTCGTCTGTCGAGTTAGCTGAAGCGTGGGGCAGAATCATGATTGGTGCTTAATCAGAGCTTGTTAGATACCTGCTGAGGGCTCTCTCAGAAGGAAGATTTGAAGTAAGCTGATTTACTCTGTAAAATAGGAACCAAAGAGGAGCCGCTCCTTTTGGCCAGGATGGTGATAATTTAAATTTGCTTGGTTTTTCTTCATGGTTCAGTTTTTAATCAAGCCAGGGCAATGAATAGCTTGAAAGAAACGTTTGTGAAGTTGTGAATTGATGTGAGGCAGTAGATGGGCCGTTTTGATCCGGGGAGGGCTATGTTAGAAGACACTGGCTGGACACTTCTCTTAGATGTGCATGGGTGGATTTAAATGCAATAAACTGATTTTTTTTTGGTCTCAAATTGACTAAATGTTTTGTATGAGAATGCATCAGTTGCCCTTTTACTCTCAGTGCATTCTTTTCTTTAAACGCAAATAGAAAATGAACAGTCATCTGTTTTTCTTAAAAGCTGCCTTTTAAGTTCTCTGTTTCCTGCTGACCTGTTAGCAGATTGAAATGCGGCTGAACGGTGCTGTTCTTAAATCTTCTTCCCCGCACAGCCCGTAGATGGGACATTTTCAGCCAGTAGTAAACTGCGGAGATGAGCTAGTGGCGAACAATGCCATTATTTATTAAAAATGGTTTCTCTCACCTTATTTTTTATCCAG